CCTAACGGCAGAAGTACATTGATTTCTCAAAGTTCTGAAGCCTTGCCAGTCTACATTACTTTTGGTCCTCCTTGCAAGGGACCATTGTTTAATTCTTGATTGAATTAACTGGGCTAGTTCCCGAGAAAACCAAGGATTATCTCTGTTCTTTATTCTGAGCTTTTTGAAAGAGGCATGTTTATGAGCCTATTCTAATTTAAATCACCAAAAAAAACAATTTCCGAATCTGCCTATAGCAACCAATTGTAAATGGAGCATTTGCAACCTTGATGTCTAAGGCTATAAGTTTAAACGGACTTGGGATTGACTTTGAAAGTAAAACAGACGATATTTTTGAGATAGGCTACATAAATAGCTGCACCACCAACACCTATAACATCATCAGGGACAGAGGGTTTAAGCCAAAATCTGGATTAGCAGACATGAACCACGTTTTCAATAAATCCAGTTTGGGTAATAAACTTCTAGCGTTGATATGTAGAAAACCATACCAAAGAACCGGCCTCGGCCACAGTCAGCGCACGTTGTCAGCCTGGCCGATCCCTCAACTGGTGAAATGACTCCGTAAAGCTGCCAAACTACTAGACATCAATACAACTACAATTCATCGCGCCACCATCTTGACATTTAAATATAACTACTTTTTATTTCACTAGATGTGACTGATGCGATGTTTCAACCACAGATGATAAAAGTGATGAAGAGAACACACCTGTTTTTAAATTATAAAACATCCCAGAATTCTCTCCTAATTTGATTTGTTTGACAAAACAATTTAATATCAGAGGCAACAAGAAAATACTTATTCCTATTAAATACTTTTGCTTTTGTACTCTTAGTTATTTTGATGACTGCTTTTTTCTCTTCTTTTTACTTTTTTTCTATTTGAGCACTTGTTTTTGTAAAGTAAGGTTTTGGCTACTCCACCAACCACCAACAGGAACACTTCCTCCTAACTGCTATATCCAAGACGAACCAACTAATTCCGTAACCCTCAGGGGGCTCCTCCCCAGTGGAAGACCCAGCGACAACCTAAGAATAGACTACGAGCAGATTTCTGCATATTATTCCTCAAAATTTCAACATAATTTTCTTCCTTCATGATGCCATACACCTGCCCAAGGCCTGAGGCTGCAAAACAGCCCCACAGCATGATGCTCCCACCACCATGTTGAACTGTGGACTGGGTTCTTAGGGTTTCTTTGCTAAACATAAGCAACATCCATGTGGCCAAACACTTCCAGTTTAGTCTCATCTGACCAAAGCACATACTTCCTAAACTCATCTTTACCTTTCAAATGTTCACGGGCAAACCTCAGTCTCAATTCTGCTTAATTTCAAATCCTTGCAACTTGTATGATTTGATCCACAGAGCTCTTCACTTGGAAGAACTTGGAATATGGAGAGTCATACAGGCTGGACTGCTGGTAGATTGTTGCACTGGATGAGTCTGAGGTGAAGCTAAGCCTCAAAACTAGCTTGACCAGGATTAGACTAGTCCAAACAATACTTTTCCATGGAATCTATGGTCACTCAACCTACTTTATAAAGTAGAATTTGAAATTAAGCTGGCTTAACAGACAATCTTTTTTAAACAACCCTCAGATGTGGTTGGTAGAAGAGCTCACCATTGTGTCATCTGGATCCAATTGAAGATCAAGATGGCCAGATGGAGACATGGTCTGCAGAGGATAAAGAAGAGATGGCACAATCACACAGTATTAAAAGTGGTAAGGCACAGTGGAAAATGACCACTTGCCACAAAGAGAATATTACTCTCTCACCTCAACATCTGCAGTGTGTGAATCTGATCCAGAAGCAGTATCTTCTTCTCTGCTGTATTCTGCATAGGGCAAGGCCTAAACACACAGAAGTATAATTTAGAAAACAATTTTAGCAATGTTGGGACCTGAACAGTCTGATAAAACAAAGGAGCAGGCCTTCGGGCATCCCACAGCTCTGACTACTAGCATGTTGGAATTTTAAAAGCCTGACCTAAAGTTATTTCAAGACAAAGGAACAGGCACAAAAGCCCCGTTTTATAGCCAGATGTGAAATATTGGATTAGACCTAAAAGCAGAACTGCCATTGGCTGCACTCGCAAGTCTACAGGCCACCCCGGTGACGTACCCGGCGCGCCCCACTAGAGTATTAGAAGGACCGAGGCCACCGTCTCTTTGTCTTTCCACACTGCGCGAGTGGGAGACACTGAACTCTCCCAACATTGATCTTTTGTTCCTGAATACAGACTTAAAACTCGCTGGACAAGCTCTGCAAATCTACAACACATCTTTTATTTTTGGATCCTAAGGAGCGTTGCTGTTTCAACACAACAAATCCTAACCCGCACTGTGTCCTACCTTCCCAAAATTAGTGGAATTGTTGGAATTGTACTGAGCAGTACCAAGGCTTCGCCAGGATCCAATCTGAGAAACACCTCAGACGGATGTATTCCTATTCAGAGCTGGCGCTATCATTGTCACTACCAAGAGTGACCTGAGCAAGAGGCTTAACTAAACTGTCTGGGCAGTTGGGTTGGGTATTGTTAAAGTTTTTAAGATACCAGTACCAAAACCAGTACCCTTAAAGTGATACCGATACCAATAGAGTACTTCATTCGATACCTTGCATAAAATGCCACCTGTTGAAGCCATAGCCTAATATTATTTTTTGTTGTTATGGACATGCAAGGTTATCTATTTTATTTTTCTTGTTTCAAATAACTGTTACATAAAAGTATTATAGGAAATTGTATCAGATCGCTTCTCACCCTAACTAGGAGGAGAAGTGAAATAGTTTAGTGACCAAATAAGTTGTGGGAAACGAATTTAAGGTAATTTTTGTGTTGAAAGTAAACAACAGAAAATTATTTTGTTGACTTTCAATCAATAAACTGAATTGAAAGATCTCCGTGTGTTTTTTCCTTTAGTGGTGAGACGCAAACCTCCAAAAACGACAGTAACAAGTATGAAACGAGTCAGGGGTCTGTTCAAACAAGTCGCTAAACTACACTAAAGACTCAAACAGCGGAAAAGAGAATCTGCAAGTCCAGCCAATCAAACCAACTACACCTGAAGCAGCCACAGCTGCAGCCGGAGGCTCCGTGAAAAAAAATCAGCTGATCACTGCTGCGCCACAAAAACGTTTTATTGATGTAATGGAATGCAGCGATTGATCAGTGACAAGTGATATGAACAGCAAATAAAAATGTACAGAGTAATGTTAAATGATACCAGAAGATGAAACCAACGGAAAGCCAAGCTTGGTGATAAACTTGTGTAACAGTGACGAACATGCCTCAGACCGCAGCCGAAGGTGAGCGGCTGTTAAAACCACACATGGTGAAAAAAGGCTGCTCTTCTCTTTTTTTCGGTGTGTTGCTTGCGTGTTTGGCTGCAAGCAAAATTATACAAATAGTCATTTTTTGTCGCGATGTGGTTACAAAAAGTATCGCATGAAGTACTTTTTTGACTGGAGACATTTGATTCTACTCGATACTGGGCTGTTTCGGTCGATACCATAAAGGTATCAAGCAGCGATACCTTTATGGTATCGAGTAGCGATACCCATCCCTGCTGGGCAGAGATATATACATAATTATATTGTTATGTGCTGAGCTTTTGTGTTACATTTACATTTGTATGTTGATTGTGGATTTTAAGTGAATGTTCCATACGCTGTTAGGTCTCGTTGATAAAAGGTAGTTACGATACTATTACACAGTATGAAATTTCTGCTTGTGGTGCAATTGTGATTTATACTCTTGTGTGTACAATCGCTAGACTCTGCCCAAAGCAAAGCCAGCATCCACCAACTGAGTATAACTCATTGTGCACAGCACTCGTGTGTTACATTGTAATTCACCGTGATAACTAAACTCACAGACAACACTTTGTATGATATTGCTATTTCCCTTCTTTCCTTTAACTAACCCATGGACCTACCATAGACTGTATACACTCATGTCACTTGACCTCTGCCGCTAGTGTCACCAGTGACCCACAGACAACCTAGTGTCAATGTGCGTCGCCATTTTTGGAGTTTTTGAATAGAGAGAGAGAATCAGCCATATTGGACCTGGTGTTACCCACATTTATATTTCTAGAATATCTCTCATATTCACAGCAACATCTGACAATCTCGCAAGCACGCTTTGGTTTAAGAGCTCACCTGATCAGTTGTGTCATCTGGATCCAACTGAAGATCAAGATGGCCAGATGGAGACATGGTCTGCACAGGATAAAGAAGAGATGGCACAATCACAGAGCAAAAAAACAGTATCAAATGTATTAAGGCCCAGTGGAAAATGACCACTTACAACAAATTTTAAGAGAAAATTACTCTCTCACCTCAACATCTGCAGTGTGTGAATCTGATCCAGAAGCACCATCTTCTTCTCTGCTGTATTCTGCATGGGGCAAGGCCTAAATACACAGAAGTTTAATTTAGAAAAACATTTTGGCAGCATCCGACAACCTCGCACCCACAGTTTGGTTGTAGAGCTCACCTGATCAGCCGTGTGATCTGGATCAGATTGCTGTGTAAGCTTCAAGTGGCCAGATGTAGACATGGTCTGCACAATATGAAGAAAAGATGGCATAAACACAATTAGAGATGCACAATTTTGGAAAATGACACTGCAATATTTTCTTTTCTGCGATATACATTGCGATATGAAAACATACAGGAATTCTCACCTCAACATCTGCAGTGTGTGATCCTCCTTGATCAAGATCAAATCTGCAGTCATCTGTGAAGAGCAATGCCTGAAAAAATAAAACAATTTTAACCATCTACCATCTTTAAAGCAGATCATCAGGTAAAAGACTAAAGTTATTAATCCTTTGAATAATTATTATCCTACACATTACAATAATTATTTCTCATGGAATTACTTACATTATGTCCTCTTTTTAGTCTTGCACGGGGTAATTTAATTGTGCTGTTAGGTTCAATTTGTACTTGCGTTTTGACATTCTTAAAATAAAAAACAACATTGACATCATGATTAACAGACATATTCATGAATAACAGGATGTTGAATTTAAACAATAATTAAGTTACTAAAAGCTGAGACTCACACACCCCTTAAAAAAACCTCACTGATAAGGAAACATTGTTGGAAATGTCCTCTAATCCTCCCACTGCCTGAACAAACTGAACTAGTTAGTTTAAATTAACCATTCGTTTGCAGACTAGTGTTTTGGGGTTGTGGCACTAATAAAAAATTGTGACATATTCTCAGTTGCCAGATTACTTTGTACAACTGCAGCCCAATACTACAGTCCTGTAAAAATCCTCCTACTGAAGGGTACAATACTGTGACTGTGTAAAAAGGCTGTGTTATACAGATATGTTTAAGTTTAATCAACCCCAGTACTTTATCTGACAGACTGTAGTAGAATAGTGTGTCTCAGACATCTAAGACTGTATCCAAGGCAACAGGGCATCTCACTCGCGTGCTTCCCGCCGTTGAAGTTACTTGGTTAACGTTACTTTAGTTACTTGGTACTTTTACAATAGGATTTAACACGATAGATTTAGAATAACGTTACTTATCAACTTTGAAAATATAATTATATCATAACTCCGCTATAAATATCACTAACAAATATGTTTGCTTATGTAAGATATATAGAAGACGGGTGTAAAGAAATCGTCCCTATTTCTTACATTAAGGACTTTGACAGCAACTGTGATAATAGCAATAAGATCTACTGTGTGCGCTGGCAGGAGGACTATTTTAAAGGCCAAATATTGTTCCTGAAGGGTGAGTAATTACCTCCAATAGTTCGGAACATAATAAGAGTAATTAAATGGAAAACTTGGATACCTTTATCTAATGCTAACGTTTTTAACTGATGTGAGTTTTGGCTAACGCGTTTAGCCGTTCTAGCTAACGTTAGCTAGCTAATGGTGGCAAGCTAATTAGTTAGTGCCGCTGAGTTTCAACACTTTATTCTTAGGACGGCAAACGGAGTGTGTAACAACAGTTCGTAACGTTATAGCAGGTGATTTCAAGTACTTACATCCAGTGTGATTTACATTCCAGAGTCGAGAGAAGAAGTGGAAGAGCAGCTGTCCAAGGGGAAACGCGTCCGTGTGAGACGGCTGAAGGAGACCAAACCCCCACCGGCACGCTCCGAGAAAGAGGAAGCCAAAAACATAAATGTAACGTTGATGGCTTCAAATAATACAGCTTGTTGGAGCTATATTCTTATTTTTGTTTATTTTGGGTTTGAGTTAATTTATAGCCCAATTTATTTCTTTTCTTTTCTTGTTAAAGTTAATTTGGTTTATTTTGTATTTATGCTTTACTTGCATTGTCGTTTGTTGGTCACATGGTGTTATGTTCATTTGCATAAGTAGGTCAAGGTGAGAGGTGCCGCAGGCACGAGGGCATATGGTTTTTTACCAGCGTGAGAGAGGCAGCAGAAATGTCTGTAAGCTTGCTTATGTGTGTGAATAAACCTCCTCAAACTCAATTTTGTTATGGACATCACTTTGCTTTGGTACCTCTGAACCTGCGTAAAGCCTAACCATGACGTAGCCTCAAGTGGCCATTTGAGAAGTTTGTTATTATTTGTTTTTGTTTAAGTTTATGGACAAATAGCCACTACACAGCTATTGCCATCTTGTGGCACTTGAATGTAACTAACAGTTACAAAATACAACTTTGACATGAACTTTAATCTGTACTGCAATGTGTTTTTGCGTTTCTGACCTTCACATGGTAATAATATCATGCTCCAAATCTATCCATTAACCATATATTGTTTTCACATTGCTTTGTTTGTTTGGTTTGTTTGTATGGGACTCTTGTATTACAGTGTGATGCCTTTTTATATTTATGCTTTTATCCATGTTTCCAGAAAAAGGAGAAAAAAGCAGCAGAAGAGGCAAAAAAAAACAACCTCATGGCCTTACTTAAGGAAAGAAAAATGAAAAAAAAACTGTCTCCGCTCTGCCCACCTCCAAGCAACAAAATGAGAGAGCATATCTTATCAGATACGTTCTCCGAAGCAGACGACAACGATGATGATGATGATGGTGGGGTTGTTCCTCAAAAACTTTTTGAGGATGCAAAACAAAAACAATGCCTCTACCTCAAGAAATTTAATGATGTGTCCCTTCAACTGCAGGAAACCAAAAACAAGTAAGGGAGTTTTGAACAGCATTAAGAATGTTTTTTTATTAATGTAATGGCTTGAAATTTGATCTTTAGCCCAGTGTTTTGTTTAACCTACTTGAAAACTTTAAACATTCACTAGCCGTTGGCTGGTAGACAAAAAGTTAATTTTGCAGATAACTTCAACTTATATATTTCACATAAAATATAATTTTTATTGTTTCTTCCAATCACAGGTAGTTATGACATATTTCCCTCTGTAACAGGTTGTCGGACCAGGAGAAGATCACAGCAGCAGTCGAGGCTGAGAATAGCACACTACGAGCGCTAAACATACAACTGCAGCAACATTTGCTGAAATCACTGAACTCTGTGCAATGCAATGGTGAGGACAGATTTGTTTCCCCCTCATTTTTCCTAAGTTCTGAGGATGCCATTCAAACAAAAATGCAATTTGTGAGCTGAAAATGTAGCTTCTTAATGACATGATTTATTTTGTAATTTAGTGGTATTTTATCTGTGGCACAATTTCATAACCAATGATCAACATTTCTATTTTGCTCACAATTTTGCCCCATAATCTGATTCCATAGGAACAACTACATTCAGATACAGTGCAGTACGCTGAAATCGTGAAAACATGATATAAAAACCTTCTCTGATCATGAAGCCTAATGTTAAATCAACAGCTCTGTGGTTTATCAGCGAAGTGTCTGAACTCCACTACAGACAGGTCTCTGTTAACAGTGGCAGACAGAACGTGTCTCTTCTATGAAACATCTGGATCCTAACCACGCTGCAGTTATTATAAATTCTAAGGAACTGGTCGTGGGTCACATCTCTCTCTCATCCAGGGGCCGTCTCTCCCTCTTCATCTCTTGCAGTTCTCATACAGTCAACAACTACTGTTACTGACTGTTGTGGCAACTTAGACGTGCAGTATGTCGATGTTTAAGTGTGCTGTCTGCTGATGTGTAAACACAGGAACGCACTATAGAAAATTACTATAGTATTATTATAGAGTTGGCTTTGGTAAAAAGTAAAGTTATTGTTATACTATAGTGTTTATATAGTATCTCTATAGTATTTCCCATAGTATTACTGTTTTTTTTTCAGGTAATGACTATAGTAAACTACAAATTCACTTTATCATCATCATAATATTACAATAAGAATGTTCTATAGTGTGTTAAAAAAATAACTATCCAAACACTACATTACATTCTACAGTAATATAAAATAATATAGGAATACTGCAAAGATCTAGGTACATAAGTATTACAATTGAAATATTATAGGGCTACCACAGATAATAAAACAGAACTAAAAAAAAAAATATCGATACCGTAGCTGGTGAAAAACACTATTGAACATTTTAGAAACTTACTACAGGACACTATATAATTCTTATAGTATATTATAGTAAGACTCTGGTCAATTTCGTAAGGGTGGGGCTGATTGGCACACATTTTACTCTGCTGTCTCAGGATTTTGAGAACGCAGGTTAAGGTTTGGTTTTCCAAGCACATTCGACTTTTGAAAGACCATGGGGTAATTATAAATCTTACGTGGCCTGGGAATGCCTCGGTATCCAGACTGAACCAGGAAATTAAGACAAACATAAACATTCAAGGAATAGCAGCTATGAATAAAGCAAATTCAAATTTTAGCACACTGCTTTGGATATGCAATTAGGGAAGCCTATATCTGGGGGATTTACAATATTTTTTGTCATGTTTTTCATCATCTCTCAAATTTGTAATATATGTGTTCTTTTTCTCTCAAAGATCCTGTATCACAAAGCCCAGAGAAGGCCTTAAAAAGTAAGTGCAACTAATATATTGCTCACAGATGTATGAAAACTATCGAGGCCCGCATTAAACCAAGTACAGGGTTGCAAATGGATGAATTTGCAGGTTGTGTATGTTTACATTATGCTTTATATAGTTGCAGAGTCTGGCTGTGCAGATGAGGTGGGACCCTCTGCTTCTCCCAAAGGAGACGAGGTACAGGATTTGTTTACATTGCCCTGCATCTGTGTGCAAGGGTTAATGTAAGAACCCCAACTACACTTCAAGTGTTTCTGACTTCTATATGTAAGTACAATCTAATACCTTTATTATTTTTGTTTTGGATTTTTGCCAGATTCACTTGGGAGGGGAAGTAAGAATTCGAAAAGAGACGTGGTCCAGGATCCAGAATAGCACCAGGGATTCGTTATTTGTGAAAGAGTTGGCAGTGGCGATGTGGGGCACTAAAACCCTGGGGGAAAGGAGCCTCACGGGGAAAGAATGCCCCTCCACCCAAACCACCAGGCAGCCTTTAACCCCACAGAAACTACACACATTAAAAGGTAGGAGTGGCCACAAGGTCTTTGTGGGATGCCAAGTGCTGGGTTATTTGATTTACATTTTTCTTTGTTCTGGTGTGACACTGTATCTGTGTATTTCTTTTCAGTCTGTTACAAGGAGTGGCTGCGTCGGAAGAATCTGGAGGAGACGGAGACGCAGGCCAGATGGGGAAAGGCTGGACGTTTCATAACTGAAAAAATTATGGACATTAACAAACAAACAAAAAAAAAGCCACTTCAGTGAGAATAAGAGCACTCAAAGTGCCATGCAATGTAAGGTCACTTAAGTTTTGTTCATTTTGACGATGTTGTGATTTGCTTGTTTTTTATGTTAAACAGTAATTGTTTATTGGTTCTTGTTATTATTAAATGAAAATACTGTTTTGAAAACATTTATGTCTTTATTTTGGTGGTTACTAACATACATGAAACAAAGAAGCATAATATCTTCATCATTTTCATTATACTAAAATTCAATGTGGTTGTCCAACATACCAGCACCAAAACACAACATATGCTGGTCTTGCTGGTAAAACCAGCATGCATTGTGCTGGTTATGCTGGTGAGCAGCTATGCTGGTGTATGCTGGTTTTTCCAGCAGGGCTGGTATTTGTTTAGGTGTGAAAAGTAGAGTGCTTTCACATCACTGAAACTAACAAACGGTCGCAGTATAAGGGAAACACCAGGGGAAGTACCCTGAGAAAGGTCATTCAAAAAAGCACGAAGACTACTACTTGCAGTTCAGCATGAGTTACCATGGTGATCTACCACCTCCATGATACTGAAAGCCCAGCAGGGTTAACCCCTGTAGCCGGTGAGTGAAATACACTGATGATGATCACTGGATTGACTCTGATATTATATAATATCAACAGTAGCTTATAGGCATCGGTTTCTTTTGTTTCTTGCAATTCAAATAAGCTTTATTGGCATGATTGTGTAACAATATTGCATATACAAACCAGGCTAGCTACATAAGAACAATCAACCCCATACATTTCATTAAACAAGTAATTAAAGCGCAAAGTATAGCGTGTGTGTGTGTGCAAAATAAATAAATAAATAAATAAACAGTAAGCGCGTGTGTGAGTTAAAAAAATAAATATTTATTAAAAACAAAACACTGGTGCGGTGGTTAGCACTGTCACTTCACAGCAAGAAGGTCGTGGGTTCAAACCCCGGTCGTCCCGGCCTTTCTGCCTTTCGGTGTGGAGTTTGCATGTTCTCTCCGGGTGCTCCGGCTTCCTCCCACCATCCAAACACATGCAGGCTAGGTTAATTTTTGTCTCCCAAATTGTCCTTAGGTGTAAATGTGAGTGGTTGTTTGTCTATGTGTGGCCCTGCGATGGACTGGCGACTTGTACCCGATGTCAGCTGGGATTGGCTCCGGCCAATCCGCGCCCCTGTAGGCTGGATAAGTGGATGAATGGATGGATAAAATAAATAGATAATACCGTAAAAGTGTGTGTAGCTACTGTGTGTAAAAAGGATAGTAAAAAAATTTATTGATTAAAAATAATAATAAAATAGAAATCATTATCAAATATAAAAACAAAACAATTACTAAAATATCAAACAATCAAAATAATAATAATTTGAACATTTTCCACTGGTTGTCCTCACTTCATGGCATGAGGAGACATATTTTGCAGCAATTATTTCACGTTTGGGCATTTCTCGCTGTAAATAGGGGAGTTTCTGTGTTCTTGCTGACAGTGAGTCCATAAACAGAATGTCGTTGGTGAAACTCTTTCACTCAGCAGCTGCCAGCTCTTATTTATTCAGGAAACAATTATATTTGAGATGCGCAGAGAGAGAAAATATGGTGGATAAAACCGTTGGCTTTACGCATGACGCACAGCTTCCTCTGTATCCAGCTTTACCTGCTTCAACAAGAAGCTGCTCCGTGTTGCTGCCACAATCATTCTTTGCGTTGTAAAGATTATGTTCATGGATGCTTTAGGAATAAGATTGTTTTTCTGCATGTGCTACTGCAAAGCAAGTAGTTTGGTTGGCTACATGTCCATAATGAAAGAGACAGTGCTGGGCAGCAAGCTGATATTTTAAAATGTTCTTATCGATGCCTACATGGAGATTTAAAAAGGAAAATAGCTAAATTACAGATAATCAACAAGCAAAGCAAATTACAGGAGTATTGTAAAGGAGCATCCTGCAGGATTTCAGAGGAAGAGGACAGAGGCCACAGGAGGAGGACGAGCTTGTAAGTGGATCATAGCAAACAAAGTATTCTAAAACTAACGTATAAAAGCACTTTGTTATGCCAATGGCATGTCGTCAGAGTTTCGATACATTGCCATGTTGAAACGCGCATAATTAAAGTCGTGAAACGTTGCAGTTTCGTTAGGTTTAGGCACAGAAAGTACTTGGTTGGGTTTTGGCAACAAAACTACTTGGTTAAGGTTAGGAAAAGATCATGGTTTGGGTTAAAATAGCTATGTATGTCAATTAAGACTTAAGTTAACTAACGTTAATGTCAATTTACCTCACTCGCCTAAATAAAAACATTTAATGTTTTGTTTCGCACGGGACACAAACCCTGTTCTCCTGCTTCAAGGTCCGGGTTCTGGCCCTCTATCCACCCCAATCACCTCCTTACTTCGTCTTTTTTCTTAAATATCATACTTGCCTTTACCATCAAAAACTGACACAACAGGGCTTCCCTCAATACGTCGAACTATGACGTCAAAGTGATTGTTCTTATGTAGCTAGCCTGGTTTGTATGATGCCTGGTTTGTATATGCAATATTGTTACACATTCATGCCAATAAAGCTTATTTGAATAGCAAGAAACAAAAGAAACCGTCCCTAGTGCGTCACAAACTGACCATTATGGCTCTTGACCAAGCGTCCATATGTGACGACTTGGGAGTGAGACCGGGTTGAGCCCCTTCATAATCTCCCCTCTCCAGTCTGTCCTCCATCTTCTGCCACTGCAAAGCCACACTAATAAGAACATTCTGTTTTCAAAAGTCATTTGAAATGAGCATTTAAGTGCTTTATTTAAAAATAATGTGTTTACATCATACATACTAACCCCGCCCCTCGCCGACGCGTCAGAAGCTCCATTTGCATAAAGAGCGCAGAAACAGATTGAGCGGCTACAGCAGCATCATGGGGATCTTCAGTCTGATGGAGGAAAACTTTGTGCTCCTGTTGCTCCTTCTGTCTCCAGCAGCTTCAGGTAAAGACGAGCTTTTATTGTGACACATTCATTCTGCTGCTGTTTGTTGGGACATCATGTTCAGATTCCTCAGCTGGCTGCTGCAGAGCTGCATGTGAACAGGGTTACTATGAGAAACACTTTTACCGCCGCTGTTACTTTTTAAAAGTAGGACTAAATGCATCACGGTACTGCAGTGTAAAGACAGAACAGAAAGATGCTGTGTCAGGAGAGAGGCTGATGTTCCAGTCTCTGCTCCGCTGAGTGAAACGCCGCAGGCTTCGGACACGTTCAGGGCGGAACCAGAGAGCTGAGGAATCTTTAAACATTAAACCAGCTGTTTTATTTGTGCTCCCGCTGATGAGCCATAACTATCCCATACTGCACCTTTCAGTTGTAAAAGAAATAAAATAAGCCAACTCAGATTTCAAATAATGTCCGCTAAGTATTTCATCAGCCCCCCGGAGCGCAGAGCAGAGCGCCGGATCACTCAGGGTCAGAATAAAGCATAAAGCTGCTGGATAATGCCCCGATAACAGACCTGAATTTAGCTTCTGAGTCCCTTTCAGACTTTAACTTTGCTAACTGATGGAATTATCCAAAATAACATCAAATAGCATTAAAGAATTGCAGAAGACAGCGTCGGTAGTTTTTAATAATTTCCTCTGTGCATATTTAGTTTTCAGTTTAGTTTTCCTGTAAACACGCTGCAGTGAACAGACTGTGCTGTCAGGAGCACTGAGACCATGCGCGGAGGAGCCATTATACACATTTCAAAAATGTTTTTCGGCGATTTTGGAGATGGCCAGGCGGTTTGAGTGACTAGTTAATGAATCAGCCACACACTCCGCATCAGATATGATTAAACGGACAAAAATCATGTGACCTATGGAAGACAAATGTGTACCTGCAGGGGGGTAGTGACTTGTTACAAGTAACGTAATTTTGCAAAATAAATAAATAAAATTAAAAAAGTAATTGGCGCCTTTTCAAGAAATAAAGAGGGCGGTTTCGAGGCAGTCAGTTTCGGGGGGGTGAGTAAGATATGAGTCTGTGTTTGTGAAGTATGAGGCTTCAGACTGACTGTTAAAAAGAAAGGTTCAGTTCATCGGCCTTGTCCTTGAGGAGAGATAAACCAGTGCGCAGGAGAAGAGAGGAAGGCCAGCTGCAAGTCTGCAAACATATAGAAAATCAAGTCAGATGATCACTAGATAGATTCTGATATATTAACAGAATCCTGTTGTTGAACAGATCTCGCTTTCTTTTGATGTATTATCGCCTGTTTTTTTTTTTGTTGTTTTTTTTTTACATTGGTTACTGTTTAATAGCGATGTGAACAGAATGTCGCCGGTGAAACAAATCTTGGCTTCACTCAGCAGCTACCAGCTGTTATTTATTCAGGAAACAATCATTTTTGGGATGCACAGAGAGAAAATATGGTGGATTAAACAGTCCTGTTGGGTTTTACGCATGACGCACAACTTCCTCTGTGTGCAGGTTTACCTGCTTCAACAACGAGCTGCTCCGTGTTACTGCCACAATCATTCTTTGCGTTGTAAAGATTATTTAGATGCTTTAGGTTAGATTTAAAAAGGAAAATAATTATTAAACAGAAATAGCTAAAGATAATCAACCAGCAAAGCAAACTGCATTCCATAGAAATAACCATGTTGCAGCTGTTTCAAACCTGATGAACAGCAGATAAAATATATTATTATATTTATACATGAGTAGGTTTGTCATATTTTTCTTTTACTTTTTATGGGAGTAATTGTACTTTTTCTTGAGTAAAGATTTTGAGTACTCTACCTGCCACTGGCCAGCAGCACCATGGAGAACAGCAGAGATGAGGTCAAGAGCAGGACAGAGTCAGAGCCAGCAGAGTCCACAGCAGCAGTTTATGGTCAGATTCATGATGGTCACCTACTCAAGGGCTCAGCTGAAGTGATTACTTCACTTTAGGGGTGTTAGAGGGATGTTTCTAGTTTTGATAATGTATTTTAAAGGCTCATTTAGTTATGTACTCTACTTGCATAAAAATTCTCAAGAATGCAGGAGTAAAGGTCTCTAAAGACCCAGAGGGCCCGACACATGCTTTGTCTGGAGAGCGGGCTGACCGGGGACAAACTCCTGGGCCACGTTTTTGCCTCCGTCTGTGCCATGAGGTGTGTGTCTCTGCTACGTGTCCATAAACAGTTTGAAAGTAGTCAAAATGTTCACAGAGAGACGAGCATCCTTCAGTATTTTAAGAGGAAGAGGTCAGAGGTCACAGGAGCAGGAGCAGAAATAACTGAGGAGGACGAGCTTGTAAGGCAAGTTTATTTGTATAGCACAATTTAACAACAAGGTCATTCAAATTGCTTTACACAAAACATAAAAGCAACAGAAAATATAATAAAAGTTACAGTGTTACAATCAGGGTTAAAAGAGTTAAATGGAAAATAATAAAAAGCTAAAAACAAAGAAAAAGAGAACAGAACAGTAAAAGTTACAGTGCAGTGTAAGTTATCAATCTTAAATATTTAATTAAAAGCAATAAAAATAAAAGTCTTCAGTCTTAATTTAAAAGAACTGACAGTTTCAGCAGACCTGCAGTTATCTGGGAGTTTGTTCCAGATATACGGAGCATAATAACTGAACGCTGCTTCTCCTTGTTTAGTTTTGACTCTGGGGACAGAAAGCAGACCTGATCCCAGACGACCTGAGAGGTCTGGATGGTTCATAACGATTCTTTGATATACAGGAAGCCAATGGAAAGACCTCAGAACTGGAGTGATGTGATCCACCTTTTTGGTCTTAGTGAGGACTCGAGCAGCAGCGTTCTGAATCAGCTGCAGCTGTCTGATGGATTTCTTAGGGAGCCTGTAAGGACACTGTTACAGTAGTCGAGTCGACTGAAGATAAATGCATGGATAAGCTTTTCCAGGTCCTGCTGAGACATAAGTCCTTTAATCCTTGACATATTCTTGTAAGTTGTATGGATAGCTAGTAGACATACTAAATTCTAAAACTCACGTAGTAAAAAGACTTTGTTATTCCAATGTCACGAGAAACACGATGCTGCTGACAGAGTTATTTATTTGGTATTTTTATTAAAATATTTTGTACCCTGCAAACAACACTTACAGCCTACACTTGTGCTGCGCATGTCGCCGTTTATTTTGCAACAACTCCCAGTCTGTTTTCCGCCGCCACAGCTGCTTTTAATTCATGTGTTACATTCAGTAACAGTCGCAGCTCGTTATTGTCCATTTTGATGTGCATGGGCATGTCAAAATGCCTCGCTAGTGCCCCCTACAGAGCAGCCCCCGGGCCACTTTTCTCCAAAATTAAAAAATTTCGGTGGCACGTGTCACATCCAGACGTACAAAGCCTCTTGGAGCGATGTCCGACACCCAACAGGAAGTTAGCCATTTTGGATTTAATGGTCATTTTTGGTGATTTACACACTTAGTGCTTTAACAAGCTCCTCCTAGAGAATTAATCCGACCGACTTCAGATTTTCACCGTGCAGTCTAAAGGCATCAGTGATCAAATCTTGTGCTATCTGTGAGGTTTCATCAAATGGCGTGCCCGTGGCGTGGCGTGGAAAATAGATGATCTGCCATGAAACAGGAAGTTCACATTGTACCAAACTTTCCACGTTTAATAAGAGTCCCGCCCTGAACACATGTGGGACTCCTCACACCCCTGAGACAGCAACACGTCTTCTAAACTCTGACGTAGTTTCAAGTCTTCATGTACTCATTGGGGACAGGGTCTAGTGTGAGGAGGCTTCCGCTGAATCAGATCTGGTTCTCCCTGGATCCTGGTCCTGTGGAGTCCTTCTGAAATGTAAACCTTTTCCTCTCCGTTCTGGTTTTTAGACCCTGATGTGGTCCAGGTGAACCCTGGAGATGACGCCACTCTGCCCTGTCAGGTTCACAGGGCCCCCATCAGAGCCGTAGAGTGGACCAGAACCGACCCGGAGTCTCCGGTCCTCTTCTTCAGAGATGGACACACAGACACCCCGTTTAAAGGCCGGGTCCAGCTGCTGGACCGGGACCTGAAGGACGGAGACGTGTCTTTAATTCTGAAGAACGTGAGCAGCAGCGACGCCGGGACGTACGAGTGTCGAGTCGCAGCAGGTAGATCCAGATCTAAGAGGGCCCTCATTGAGGAGCCTCCCATCAGAAGGATCCGCCTGGAGGTTCCAGACCCAGGTGAGTTTGTGGAGCTGCAGGTTTTTCCATGTTGGTTCTGAGATAGAGAAGAGGAAACGGAGGCTGCTCCACTGCTCAGTCACTTCTGACTAATGTGCTCTTTGGTCTCCAGGTCCCAGGTCTGGAGACACCGAGGACGCAGACTACAGGCTGTATGCTGGACTCGGAGCAGCAGCAGCAGCAGCAGCAGCAGCAGCAGTTTGTTTAGCTGCTGTTACAGTGGGGGACATGCTGACAAGAAACCAGAACCGTCTCCTGATGGAGCCGATCAGCTCCTCTGATCTCTGAGTGCCTCGACATGAAAGAGTTTCCTTTTGCCCGTTCTGTCAGTCACAGAGGGGGAACAGGTCCACAGGGATCAGGTCTTAGCCTGCTGTTTTCTTATTCGCTCACAGACTGAATGTTGGTCCTGTAGTTCCCACCCTGCTGGAGCTGCTGTCTAGTTCTGTTACTGCAACGCTGCCCCTGACTAGGACTACTAGCAGCTTTGTAAAGAGAGTAATGTATTAAATTAAATGAGGTGAGGAACAGACTTTCATAACAAACTGAAAGACTGATGTGCTAAATAAAACTCTGTTCTGATGCGGTTTCTGTGTTTGTCAGGATGCTTTAAACCTTGAAGTGTATTTTTGGGAACAAATAAATACTTATACTATAATAATACTTGTGGATTAGACACATGCTTCTGGTTTGGGAGCCCCAGGTTCAATTCCTACTGCAACATCCACCAGTGTGTCCCTGAGCAGGACCCCTCGTTGCTCCAGAGGCGTGCGGCCTCTGACATACAGTATTTAGCAATTGTAAGTCACTTTGGATAAAAGCATCGGCAGAGTGAGTGGTTATTATTATCATTATTATAGGAAAGCCCCTAATTACTGTTCACACACTCACAACCAAGAGGACTGGGCATCAGGAGGACCGGGAGTTTTCCTGGTGGGCCGCTGGAGAACTGGGCCCATAAACCTCATGGTCCTAAAACGGAGGAACAAAAGTGCAGCTGATGCTTCGATCGACTGGCCCTTAGTGTATTATTACATTTTAACATAGTTGGCCACGTCAATCACACACTCCACATCAGAACACGATGAAATGATGCATTAAAAAAAAGTGACAAAACACAAAAGTGGTGCTGAAAAGTGAGGGAGTTGAAGAGTTTTGCTGCTTCTTCTGCTCTCTTTTTGAAATCCTTTTTGAAAAAGTTCTGAAAAAATAGCTCCAAGAAATGTTAACAAATAAAAATGCTATGAAAAAGGTTTATTTGCACAGTAAGTCTGCAATGCAATGTAAATATAGAAGAAAATTCTTTCTAAAAGGAGGCCTATTAAAATATATCCTTGTCTTGTTGTCATGGCCCCAATCTTGTGCAAAGTCATGTCTGAAGTGTTTCATCTCTCCCCTAATCTGAGCCCTTAAATGGAAGGATGGCGTGTTGGTGAGGTTTGTCCCAGTCCTGCCCTCCTAGCAGCTCTTCCAGCTTGTGCGGTGAAACCCCTACAGATGGATCAGAGCTCAGCAGCCCGTCTGGTTTCTGATCAGCCCAAAAGGGCTCATGTCCCTCCGTTACTCAGGGACCTCCACTGGCTCCCCGGGGCCTCCAGGATCAGATCCAAGTCCCTGATGCTGCATACAGAGCTACTACTGGGTCTGCACCATCTACCTAAACTCCATATTTCAAGCCTACGTTCCTTCACTGTGCTCCTCCAACGGACGCCGCCTGGCTCTGCCGTCCCTTCACACAAAGCGACCTCAGTCCCTGTGACGCCACGATGGTGGAACGAGCTGCCGCACGCCATCAGAGCAGGGGGCTCTGATGGCGTGCGGCAGCTCGTTCCACCATCGTCCCTCTCTAACTTCAAGAAGCTCCTGAAACTCTGCAGAGAACACTTCCTCTGACCTCTGACATGCACGTCCTGTACTCTTCTTCTGCCCCCTCACAGCTCTCTTGATGGCACCATTCATTAACTCTTCCTCCAGGTATTTGATGCAATGTGTGTCAGCTCTTACTTGATTTATTGTCAGTTGCAGATCT